GAGATCCGTGAGATGCGAGAGGAGGAGCGCTATCTTGTTTGCGCTATCCTCCAACTGGCTATTATCGGCCTCGCTTCGCCATTCTGCTGCCATGGTAAGTAATGCCCGCTCTCCGGTGAATATCTTCTCACGACGAAGTGTTCTTTCTTCATCGGCAGCCCTTGCTGTTGCCTCGTCATGCAAGTGCCAGCAGATGTGCCTGCTCGGCATCCTCGGCCTTCTTCTTCGCTGCTGCTGCAGCGTCATCTGCCCGTTTCTTTGTCTCGGTACTCCAGGCCAGCATGCGGGCCTGATAGGCCTGGTCTGCTTCCCCGGGCCTCTAGTCCATGACTGATGTTTGAGATCGCAACAGCATAGACCGGGCGGGGGCCTGTTGATGTGGTATCCCTTGCTGCTGACGTGGCACTGCTGACGTGGTCTGCTGACGTGGTCTGCTGATGTGGCCTGCTGATGTGGCAACTCACCAATGCTGCCGCGGGGGGTACCCGGATACCAACAGAAACGGAAAGGCGAGAGATGACAACAACATAGGTGGGGAGGGGTGTGTGGGATAATCGCCCGACCAATCACTTAGATAAGGAGCCACTAATCAAACAAGAAAAGTTCGAACTTTACAAAAAATTTCGAGAAAAATAATTAAAAAATCCCGATTTTTGCAAGTTCGGTAGGTCTCCCAACCTCCCTTGAAGTGCGAAATGATCACTGGAAAAACAACTGACTTTAGACTGCCAATGATTTATAGAACTGAACGATAGAATCCCAAAACTGCGAAAAAAATTCCAAACCGAAATGACAAATATTCGAATTTATWCCGATGAGAATATTCGCAGTTTGGAAAATAATACTGCAGGAGGTATTTCCCGTACCGTTTTCAAAAAACGAATTTCAGAAAAGAAAATATTCATAATTTCTAAGTAACGGGAAATGCAACAGGAAATCGAAATTTTTGAAAAGAAAAATATTCCGGATTTTCAACAGTGAAATTTCAAATTTTCATAAGAAAAACGAAAATGGGAATTTCAGATGTTGCAATTTTGCGATTTTCCACAACAGAATAGCGAGAAAATAAAATCCAAGAAAAGAAAAAAATTCCGATTTTCGGTAGTGAGGTCAAGATCGTGATTTTGGGGTCTAACTAGTATGTCCTAATCRACCAATAAAGACTAACTAGCTTTTTTGGTCCCCGCACACGTGTCAGATCAGGGTGTCCTGATTCACGTGCAGAAGCTCCGATACCAACTGTTACATGCACAGATATGCAATGTACGTAATAACTGAGGAACTGCAATGTGATGAAAAGGACTGACTGGACAATACAGTGCGAGTAGAATCTCGACAGACAATGTACATTCTCATACATACAAAAGGTGCTGAATAGCGCAGGGAAGACTTTGATACAAAGACTGACCTGGCATGACTGACCTCATTCACTTAGTTCAGAGTAGCGAAACAGAATGCTAGAGTAGTACTAACTAGCCCAATCAATGTTTGAACTCAGACTAAACATGCATGATATCCATCACCAAGNCTAACTAGCCCAATCAATGTTTGAACTCAGACTAAACATGCATGATATCCATCACCAAGTGTGAAGGAGCCTGGCGCTGTACACAGGAAGAAAGCGCCAGGTCCAGACATACACAGACGAAGAGATAAGGATCAGACGAAAGGAGGGAGAAGGATGGGAATGTCGTTAACACCAAGTCTTGGTCACCAATCCCAAATAGTCCCTCGTTGCCATGTCAAAACTTCCAAAAGTCGAGTCTGGATCAAATGTCACCAAGCTCTGTATCTCTTCTCTCATAGTCTGCAGATGCAGTGCAGTCAGAAGTTGAGAGGGAGAGAAGAGATGGTGGACTGAGAAGAGGAAGAAGAACTCTCTCTCTTTCTCTGTTACGAACCAGATACTAACCTGTGATGTTGGCGCTGTGCCGCAGGTACCTCGAAGACGAAGCTGGAGCAACGGCGCTGCAGGTAGGTACCTTTGGCCTCCGCCCAAGCTCTCTCTCTCTCTCTCTAGTACTACCTAGCTATGGCGCCCAGCGCTGGAGACTACAGCTACATACTGCGCCCAGCGCTGAAGACTACAAGCTAACGCTACTACTACTACACTGTAGTGCTCCCTTCAGAGTGCTGCTCCCGAATCCTGAAGACTACAACTCCTGAATAATGAATCGTGAAGTGCCTGGGGGGGTACTTATATACTTCCACGGCCTGCCTCCTGACTGCCTGAAGGGCCAGCCAGGCCAAGAGGCTGCTCTTGCCAATCCACGGCCTGCCTCCTGACATCCTGAAGGGCCAGCCAGGCCGAGGTGCCAATGCCGAAGTGTGCCAGGGGCTGGCGCCGCAGCATCTGCTGAGGCTGGCGTGGATACAGGCTAAGAATAGCCTGTTCCCGAAACCCTGGTTTGGTGCCTGAGTTTCAGGGCCGGTTGTTCTGACCGAAAATAGCCCTTCGTTTTAGGCTAAAATGGCTCTTGCCATTTTTAGTTTGAAACGACACAGGGACTGTAGGCCACTGTTTTCAGGCTGAATTCTAGGCTTTTTGGCTGAAGGGCGCAGGGCCTGGAAAATGGCCTGTGTGTGCAGGTGCAGCATGTAACACCCCCCCCTCCTTATGAAGTCAAGCCGGGGCGAGGGCGAAGCCGACGATCTGAAGGTGGAACCTGGACGCGGGCGCGGCGTGGAACCGAAGAAACCGGCTTGCCTTGCATCTTGCGTTCATAGCGTGCGAGAACGTCTGGAGCTGTCGCTTGAAGTTCCGCACGGGTCAACCATCGGTCAGCTCGGTGTGTGCAGTATGCAAAATGCACCAAATATTCAGTCGGCCTGCTGCCGTAGTGTCGCTGGGAAATGATGTCGCCGACCTCCTGAAAACCATCCATAGAAGGTGGGTCTTGCGTACGTCTCCCGGGGAAAATCGTCATGTTCCGCTGRCGTGTAGAGAGCCAATTTGGAGCAATGAAAGACTGGGTAGACGGGCAAGTGGCCGGGCAGCTGAATCGTGAAGGAAGGTCCTTCGGGTGCGTCCCCAGCGGGCGCTACGATCGGCCAAGGCCCCATCCATTTCGGAAGGAGCTTGCGAGAGATGTCTTGTTCAAGGCTGAATTCCGCTGCAGAAACCCAGACGAGGTCACCGGTGCGGAATGGACAAGGAAGACGCTGGCGATTGGCCTGCTGGCTCATGTGCTGTTGCATCTTAGCCATCTGGTCACGTGCCTTGACAAGAAGCTCTTGCATCCGACGCAAGAAAAGAAGATGGTCGTCGCTCTCGGTCGTGCGTGGAGTAATAGTGTCCAACGGTGACGTGACCGGCGAGCCGTGCTCGAACTCAAAGGGTGATATCCCAATAGTCGGGTGGATGGAAGAGTTGTAGGCCAACTCGACGTCCGGCAGTCGCACAATCCAGTCTTTCTG